TGTAAAAGCTGAGTCATGGCTTATTTGCTCACTTAGCATTCCGTGTGAAAGCCTCAAATGTCAACTCCAAACTTTTAGACCTTCTGGACCTTTGTTTGTCAGAACATAAGAGCTTCAGAAATATCAATAGCACATTTTGATTGTTTCAGTGTGTTGGACTGCCATCTCTCATCTCCCTGATTCAGTCTTTGGCTGTTCTTCCTTATTCACGTTATTGATTTGCTTGTGCAACCATGATATTTTATAGTACCACTTCACACTATAAAAGAACTTTATATCTCTTGAATATTAAGTGATTTAGTCCAAACCCAATCGAATTGCTGTTATGAGAGTTTGCAGACAAAGAGATAGATGCTTAAGGACTGTTTTCCCCAAGAATGATTTAGTGGCAGACTCCAGGACTCTCCTGGCTCTGGGCTCTGAATCGCATGCTTTGTTGCCTTTCATCATTTCAAATGCTCCCCATCCAGCATTTTGGTTTGTTTTTTTACCTTTGCATTTCATTATGTATTTGCTGACTAGAAGGGGTGCTGAGAAAACACCTCAGCATTTTCTGTTTTCTGTTATTTTATGATGTAATAATATGTCACATCTCTTCCAGTCTTTTCAGACACTTCCTTACTGCTCTCTTCCTTTCTAAGGAAGAAACGACTAGGGACTTTAACAGCTACAGACGTGTCCCTTAGACAAAGGTGTTAATAGTGCATTTCGTTCCTTTTTTTCTTGTAAAGTGTACTTAGGAATGTGGACCAGCTAGTAAAATAAACAACCCCTGTGTACCTCGCCTTAGGATGTGATAACATCAAAGGGTAATTTATGGTTCTGTTTGCCAGGTGTCAGTTTGTTCACAGGGCTAATTGAAGTTGTATGGGAATATATATTGGTTCAACAGTGGAAGGATCAATGAATTGATTTATTGTAAATTGCTGTCAACAATTTAGCCTTTTGCAGCACTTAGCAGGCAGAGTTTATTTGAGGTGGTGCATGAATGAGCACTGCAGATTCACACGGGCTACTTATGCTGCGAATTCTTTCAATGTTTTAGAACAGATTCTGCTTTTGGTATGATCTTTTCATATTCCTTGGCTATCAGGATTCAGATAAGGCACAGGAATTGGTAAAATGTGGAATATGGTGGCTTATGCTGTCGCACTGTCATTCTCATTGGCCCTGCAGGCCCAGAGAAGAGACTCTGCATGCAAAACAAGTGTGGCTTTTTTGTACGTTGGGGCGCCTCAGTTTTTACTTTTGTTGTGGCAGTAGGCGTGGGAATGGGCAAATAAAGAGGTTTGCTTGGTTTCAAGCCTCCCATTCTTCCCCTGTGGCTACGGTGCTTTCCAGTGCCGATGCGAAGAGCTGTATTCACCAACGGTGCAACACAGGCACCCTACACCTCCGTGTGTGGTGGACGTGCAGGGGGTTGCAGCGGGGGATTGCTGCCCCATCTGCCCGGTGCTGCTGTGTACGAAACTTCAGGGTTCGGTATGATGGCCCAAAGAGAAGGACATAGGGCTGACCTCCTTGTGTCCACCGCGGGCCACGGAATTGGCTTTCGGCATCTCAGCAAAGGCGGTGAGAAGATGGGGCTCTTCCCAGGACTGCTGCCATTCATGGCAGTGGCCACACCATGGCATTGGCCACACACTCAGCTGTGAACAGCCAAGTCTTGGCTGAGTTGTCTTGTGCTGAGCTTGCTCTGGTGACTCAGTTTATATTTAACACGTCTACATACACAGGCTGGCTGTGCGTATACTTGCAACCAGAGGTGTGTGCGTCTGTGAACATGACAGGCTTTCCCCTACTTTAAGAATACTTAGATGCACATAAATTATGTATTTCTTCTAATTGATGCATCATTTTATATATCTTTCCAATATTTACTGTGTATTAACCTGTTGTTTTAATGCATTTCCAATCAACATATCTTCTGCAGTTAGTCTCCGGTGGCCACTCTGCATACGCAATTATCACATTTCCTGGAATGAAATGATTATTGAAATATATTTCTCTTAATGCCTGCCTTTCCCTTCAGCTCTTTTTTTCAGCTGCACCAACAGTAGGATCTGTTATTAGACCAAAACATATTGACCTTCTTGTCATTGTGGTTTTGCATCTCCCTCCCTGATTACACCTAAGCACTACAGCTGGATATCCATATTCATGTTGCTCTACCACAGAAAAAGTAGTCCATCTGCATAGACTTAGCACTACATCCCACCTGTAAAAGAGAGCTTTACGCCATCCATCAAACTGGGAGCGTACTTTCCAAACCAGGATTACATCAGTGACACACACTGCGGTGTTGTTCTGGGTATGTCATTTTAACATCCTGGGATGAATGCAGTGTAAAAAGAAAACTTGGAGAACAGAATCTAGAAGAATTAAAGAAAACAAACAGCCTGTAATTCCAAGGAAATGAAGATTCAAAGAGATGAGGTGAGAGAGATATATATATATGGCCACACAGTGAGCAGAAAGAGAGGTTTGAAATGTTACATTAGGCCAACAGAATTTAATTAATGATACAAGGAATGGATCATCCTGATAAGCTGTTCAGAGTACAAAATAAATAATGAAGTGTCTGTAATTAAAAATAGTGTTCAAAATTAACTGACCTGCATTTCTGATGCATTTCTTACCCTTGCACTAGGCATGAAATATTCTGCCTCTTTGCAATGTGCCTATTAAAAGCTCTTCATGCCAGGAGAGGAGGCAGAAAAATAAAAGCTAAGCTGCCCTAGGGAAAAAGCTTCCCAGCTTTTGGGAAGTGGGAGGGTGTTTGCTCCATTCTGGAACTGGCCAGATGAGCACAAACCGGGGACTTGGGAGTCTGCCAGAAAAAGGACAGATATTTCCCATGTTTTTCCTCATGTAGTGGGGTGAAGCCATGGAGGCATGACAACTGCTGCTCCGCGGTTGACTGTAAAAAATTGGTGTGGACCAGGGATGGAAAGAAAAGCCACTTCTGCTCCATCAGAAGAAGCCCCGTAGAGCTCACAATGCAAAGCCTGGCTACCTCTGTTGGTTTATGTCTAGAGCTTCAAGTATGTTGGCAAAGTTTTCAAATGTCCCCGAGTGATTTAGTGTATAAGCCCTGCCAAAAGCGAGTGGAGCTGAAGGGCTAAGGTTGCTTAGGCACTTCTGAAAATGTTATCCTGCAACATTATCCTCAAAGATCAAAACACCAAATTGGATACACTAGCTTCAATGAAATTACCACTGCGTGCCAATCTTTTATCAGTCACTTTGCTCCAGGGCATGATCTGTTGTGGTCAGAAGAAATCTTTCTTATTTTCCCATGCTGTAAATTGTACAGTAAGGGTCAAAATTTGGTCCAGGGCTCACCACTATCTTGGTTTCAGCTGAGTTGATTAGTATGTGAATTAATCTTGCTAGCAGCGAAATTTAATCTGCCTTTGTTTTGAAGCATCTGACACTGGCAAGGATTACTGGACCCTCAGTCTGTTCTAACACAGCAGTTTCTGTGTTTCAGAACTGAAGTGAGGTTAACATACTTTGGGTGTGAGCCCATGGTCAATGGCCATCTATTAGCAAGATTGTTGCTAAATGCTTTAGTTCAAAAATTGGTTTGAACTAAACTCAGGGCATTTAAGAATTCGGAGTTTGGGATTTCACTACTGTTAACTCGTACACGTATGTCTAATTGCAAAGCCACATTTAGGTGCGTCTTGGGAGACTTCCCGCTGCACAAAGCTCTGCAAATATTATCTGAAACAAGCAAAAAGCCTTCATTCTGAATTCATTAGCTTATGACACCTCACCTTCCATTTTGCATTTACGAACATTGCCCTTTGTCTTATGTCTCTACTGCAAACCTGCAGTCCATAAGAAAAAAAATAAAAATCCTCCCCCTTTTCCTCAGCAGTCCGGCAGAGTGGAGGAGGTGGGGGTGGAGAGCCCTGTGGCTGGTTGGCCAGATCAGAAAATGCAATGTGAAGGCCCTTGGGATCCCGGATACTTGGAGAGGAGGGATTATAACCCAGGATGGCTTTCTCTATTTGCTATTGAAAATGGTCTTTAGCATACATAAATAAGTAATATTTCTCTTAGTTGTTCTTTTTTGTTCTTTCAGCTGCTGTATTTTCTTTTTCATCTCTCTTTTGATCTATATTTATTGTCCTTTTGGCCTTCTCACTCCTTTGAAATGGGTGGCAAGCATTTCATTTTGATGCACCCTCATCTCTGTCTTCCTGTGGGTGGTAGTTTTGGGGAAGGGAAGGAAATCCTTCCTGGATGCCCTTGCACAGAAGGCACAGGCCGGACGGGAGCTGCATCCTGTCCCCAGCCACCAGCTCTGTAGATGAGGCCCTATACATCCCTCTCCTCCAGCAAACGCTGCCGCTGCAGAGTATCTATAGCATGGAGGCGCCGCCTTCATTTCCCCAAGCACACGCGGTGTCCAGCCGTGGCTGGACAGGCTGAGCACAGCGAAAAATGGTACCTGTCTTTGCAACACTTGCAGTAATTTTTACTTAACTACAGGGGACCCCTTATTACTAATTAAACTTGAGAAAAGAGATTTTTTTTTTTTTTTTCTTTACATTGGCCGGTGTCACATACAGCTGTTTATCAGGTAGGGATACATACTCTTGCTATATTAATGTGTTTGCACCTAAGTTAATTAAGCGTGCCTTTCCTTAGTATTTCTATAGGAAATGAACAAACCAAATTTTTTTCCTTTTTGCATGAATTTTACACCTGAAAGGGAAGTGCCTAATCAGAATCTACTGCGGTAAGAATAGTTTACAGCAGCAAGGCAGAAATGTCCCATATAAATATAGTTAACAACTGCCTCATATATCTGTAGAACTTCAGAAAGGTTCAACTGATGTTTTATTTAGTAATGACATGATGAAAAAGCTTGTAGAACATTAATAATGCTGAACGCTTGGGCCCTGTAAAATGTCTCGGACTACTTGTCTTGAGAAGTGGACTTTTCAAGCTGGTTTTGAGGACAACAAACTCCTGTTTTTATGAAGTTAGAGGGAATACTTGAGATAAGAACAGGAAAACGTAGCGTCCCTGTTATCGTATGCGCCGATGGTCTCGCCTGCGTGCGGCGTGGAGAAGCTGTGCGCACGTGGGTGCGGGAGCGGGTGCCCATGCAGAGACCTTCGCCATCCTTCGTCGTTAGTCCATGGCAGGCGAAGAGGTTTGTCCGTTCCCGCCTGACACCTGACCTGCGGCGTCTGCACCTTTGCTCCTGCGTACGTGTGAGACCGCCTTCAGAACAAGCTGCACAGACTTTCTACGGGGTTTTATTCTGGATATTATAGAGCAGTTAAATGCTGCCTTTCATAGATACGCATTAGATATATTTGTGGTTTCCAATTTATTATGTTAGGGAATATCAATTTTGCATTTGAAAAGCAGTTATCCCTATCTCTGAATGCATTTGTCTGTATATCCTCAAAAAGAAAAACAGTCGGATTAACTACCTTGTTTCCTGCACGGTGCTGGGGATGTAGTTTAGTGACATTGTTTGGTATTTAATTAAAATAAACATAGAGAGGAAAGATTCTCCCTAAGGAAAGAAGTTGACTAATTGAAGCTTCTCTACATTAATTCAGAGCATTAAAGCATTAATGCTTTTATAAAACTGTCTTTTTGACCTGCACAGGTTTGGGTAAAATTAGAAGTTACTGTCAATGGCTTTAATTTGTCCATGTAGAAAAAATTGTGAGTGTTTCCGTAATGCTGCAGTTTAAATGGCTTATGATGCTGCTTAAAAAGTCTGTGTGAAATAAAGTTATGAGGTTAAAGTATTGTGCTGCAAGTGTTTCACGTATAAATGGTCAGTGCTGGGAGTGATAGGTTACTGTGCTCGGGTGAGGAGCTGTAAATTGTTAACTTGCATTAACTTGATCGCCTTTCTTTGCTTCTAACCTAAATTTTCAAATGTAAAATCCCAGCCTCAGCAAAAAACATCGTGTTTTATGACTGAAAGGAACTTGGTGGTAAATCACCCCTTGCCTGTCAGCCTCCTCCCACGTGCAGAG